GGGGGGGGGGGTCAAGATGTAGTAACAAAATATGAAGAGAAACTAAAAAGGGATGCAGTAACATGCTTGCAAGTTTTTTATATAGATCACCTTAAAAGTTGCACATCCTCCTCATTAAGAAAAGAAGGAATTAAGGTTTCTGCATGACTCAGAAGTGAACCTGGAGACACTAGTCATTAGTAAAGCAAACAGTTTTTCTGATAAAAAAATCCATCAGGAAGATGTACTTACCTAGGTTTTTGCAAATAACAGCCACCTTTTCAGCATAACAGATAGATGTAAAACTTACAGCTGATTTGCTTGGTTCATTTTGCAAGCACTCGTGAAACTTTTTAAGGAAAAGATCCTTATCATCTAGGATAAGAGAGCATATACACATGAGTGAAAATAGAGAGAGAGAGAGAGAAAGAAACAACACATTTACAAATACCATGTTAGATTTTTCTAAAGAAACATACCTTTACAGATGTCGGGAACAAAACAGTGAAGATTTGCAATAATTTTCACCAATAAGGAAGTTCTCTGGTGTCCAGAGGGTACTCTAGATACATTGCAAGGGAGCAACGTTAATTCTGAAGAAGCCCCAATCAACTGATACGATGAAAAAAAACTGAAAAGCCACCCCGCAGCTGCAAATGGAACATACTCTAGAGTAGCATCTTCCTCCTGGACAGGAAGGTCGGATGAACACCAACAAGACAAAAAAACTTCATGGCAAGGATACAAGATGGCTGACAAAATCTCTGTCTGAAGGTGCGTAGTCATATACAGGAGTCAGTAATACATCTTATTTCAATTTTCTTGAGGAGCAGAACATGTTCACAAACTAACTACTCAACGTTGTGATTAAGTTATTAAACAGATCTTACAAAGTGTGTGGTGATATAGGACCGGAAATTTGAATCATCGGAGAATATTTCAATCAGTCGCATTGCATTGAGTTGCAATAGTCCACTTGGGTAGGTTTTCTCAGACAAAGCATAAGGTTGTTGGGATTTCCTTTCAAATGTGTTCTTCAATAACTCAAGAACCTGCAGAATTTAAAAGATTATGTCCCATCCATTCCAAAAACAGTTCGATGACTAATGATATGGTTATTATTTTGAGTAACATACATAGAAGAGCACTGTTTGGTAGCTTCACAAGGTTCAATTTACTAAGTCATCTAAGACAAGAATAAAGAACAACAATAAGAATTATGTTAACATGCTTCAGAAACCAACCTTAAAAGCAACAGACTTTGCCAATTCAAGGCTTGTAGGAGTGCTCGCAACCTCATCCAAATAAGAGACACACTCCGATTCACAGAGGTTCAACAACTGCATAAATGGCATGCATACATAAAGGAAAACCATTAAAAAAAATAACACGAAAGCATGTCCAAAAAAAGCGCAAGCCTTCATCAACAATGAGCAAAGGGGCCCATGCTTATTTCCTTATTAGTAGTTATTAAGACTTACAATAGACAAAATTTTAGATTTTAGTCTAGAAACAGATGCTACGATTGAAGAAGACTCCAGGAACAATGAAGATATGTTTAAGCTCATGATTGATTGAGCCAAAAAAAGAATTCCACCGTTACTGCATAGCTCCTGAGATAGAAGGAAACGGTGAGTCAATTAAAGGAAGAGGAAGCTATTTAAAAAGTTATGGGTTAGAAAATGAAAAACTGAAATCAGTTACTCCCCCCATTGCATAACAAGAGCCATGCTTGAAAACACACTTTTGTCCCCCAAAAAAAGATTCTAATTTGAACAGGTTGACTTGGCAAAGTTTTTGATTAAGTAAAGAATGTGTGATTGAGTATTATGCATAGGAGAAAGAAGTATTGTGAATCACGACTTTTTAAATATAGTAACTACCGCATCTTTTTGGGACTGACCAAAAAGAAAAGCACGCACATCTTTTTGGATCGGAGGGATGAGAATTTTCATATGATATAATTTCATGTGGGTCAATCGGTCAACCAAATCAAACCGCTTTATGAATATACATAATTTTCCTTATTTTAAATGCCACATCATGTAGTGGAAATATGCAGTCATTTTAGTAAGGGTAAATAACATTTTCTGGCAACAATAGGAGTTCATTGCAGTTGCTAAGTAAAGAATCAAAAGAAACACATACTTGGAAGAAAAACATGTAAATCACTCATTTCCATAAATAGATATAATAAATCAATGGAAAAAAACTATTTTACATAGCTTAAGATAGAAATATGCATAGATAACTCACAAATGTCACAATTGTTAGTGCAATAAAAGCAAGCAACATCTAATTCACCATAATAGAGCATATTGCATTCGTCTAATTGTAAAAATAACCTTGTGAGGTTATGAACTCCACTTTAACAACAGACCCTCATGATCACTAGAGGCATTCTACTCATAACAGGTAGGAAAAAAGGAAAAGCAGCATAGAAAATTGATGCAGATGATTGTCGAAACCTTATTCTTAAGAAGTCGATCGCGGAACACTTTTTGCTGGCATAGTGACTGAATAAACTGTAGAGAGGCCTCGCACTGCTGGCACAAATGATGCAATATTTCTACATCCTTAGAAGTAGATTCAGCACAAGAATCAGAATATTCAACTGACAGACTGCTCTGAAGAGACTTTATATCAGTGCAAAGGGCAGCAAATGTAGCATCCATGAATATATCAACCTGCAACAGAGCTTTGTTATTATTTTCATACATCTGGATCACTTTGCTTCTTTAGCTTACATCAATTTACCAAAAAAGGACAGCATAAGAAGGCTAACCTTATTGTATGCCAGAAAAACTTGAGCTAATTCATGCCATTGTGAAGAAATACAGGCTGTCAATACATACAAGCTGGAAGCAACTAGAGTGGAGTGCAAAAGAACCATGTCATTTGAATCCTGAATTTTCTGTGCAATTGTCACCTTTGTCAGGGGGTTACACCGGTAGACAATAATGTACTATCGGACTTTAGAGAAGATATGAGAAATAACCTGACTTTGAGTACAAAGTATGATTAGAGAATAAAAGACCAGATCAAGTAGCTGTTCCGATATTTTAATATCATCAAACAATATCTGGAACAAAGACATAAAGAGGAAATGTAAGTTTACATAGGGCTCCACATTGCATAAACTCGTTTTAAATATATTGTGGTCTTGCCTGTGCCAAAGATCAATGTAACTTTGCTCTAAAACTACGTTAGAATGATGTCAAACAGATGAAACATATTTAGCTCTGACCTCTTCAAGTTTAGGATGCCGAGATGCTATATCACTCAAGGCGTACAAAAGCTGAAAACCAGATAACAAGTATTTCAGCAGTGCTTCATTTGTTTCCCGTGCCATGACCACCGCAATCAGGTGCAAACCAAGGTGTCTAGTGAGTTTTTCCAAATCAACCTACAAGATTAAGCAATAAAGAGCATCTTTTAAGGCCACACAAATGTGCCGTAAAAATAAGGAGGAAAGAGTACAAAATAATGAGACGAACATCGACCTGCACATTTGATCCATCGGGAGTAGTATGTCTTACAATATTGTTGTCAGCATCCTTGATCAACCTGCTTAGCTCTTGAGAATTAAGAGCATGTAGTCCTTTAACGGCTGAAACTAGGTCCAGGTGCTACCAATAAAAAAGATGACTGTTAAAAGATAATATCATTCAGCAAACAGAAATGGGACCATATGAACTAAAACGGGAGTAATAGGACTGTCTACAAACTGCAATGCCTTCTAGAAAAAGTGATGGAAGGATCAATCTACACACGTTAAAAGATTGATCATTGAGGGTAAACATCCAATATTCACTGTTTACATGGATTGACTTACACAAGCTACATTAGTGCATCTTCCCTCATTCCACCCCCGGTCCTATCCCCATGGAAATACATAGGGAAGCATTAATTTTCCCCTTCAATTTCCATACTAAAGCAATAAATATTCTCCATCATGACACAGAATGGCACCAAAGGCAGAAATTCTTTACTATTAGTATCTCTCCAAATGCACACAACAAGACGACACCCGGCTAATGTAGCCACGCAGGGACATCCTATACCATATTTAGGAGCTCAATCCTCTCTACCTTGAGGTTCATCCCGAAATGGAAAACAGAAACTATTGCATCATTCTAAATTACTACAAAAGCCAAGGAGATGAATTAACTTCCTATAGCATTCTAATTTCAAAAACTCACCAGCTCCCCTTTTCTAGCCAAAGTACTAGCACGCTCACCGTCGTATGTCTCTTCCTCTTTACAAATCATCATTTCAGGAAACCTGCAATGCCTTCCCCGAATAGCAATAAGCATTTAAAGGGGGGGGGGGGGA